GGCCCAACTGACTCATTTCCTGGCTTGCACCCCCCAAGTTGACAAGCATTGGCTACTGGAGGTATTATGAGCTCGGAAGCCTCAATACCACGGCGTGCTCGGGGATGATTTGAGAGCATGGAGGGAATTATCTTGTTGCGAGTGGCTTTGGCCTGCTTTGCCCGGGCGTCGCGTCGAAACGCCGCTGGTGGCCGCCCGATGGATGGTTCAAGCCTTCCCATAGCTATCTGTCGACACTCCCTGTTGAGTCAGAAACTCGAATAATCTTCCTCAGGTCATTGCAGAGATGGTTTTGTCGACTGTGCCCAAGTGTTTGTAAGCCAAAGGGTTTGACGTTGAGAGGACATGGACTGATCACGTAAGCACACCCGGGTTACTCGATTCCCCACCTAATAATGATCATCAAGGTTCTTACTCTCCCCGATAAGTTTTGAAGGCTAACAACTGCTTCTTCTCGTGCGACGATGACGCGGAACCAAGGTCTGCTGGATGCTTCTTTTCACATCCGCCGATGTGACAGAGCAATAACGACACAGTGGTCTCAGAGCTCTCTGCCACTCAGCAACTGGACACAGCATTGCGGCCTCGATAACAGGTTGCAGCAGAACAAATAGCAACCTGCCCGGAATGGCTTCGTTCCATGCAAGGTACAGGATCAGGAATGCATACCCAGCATGTCAAATGACATGTCTCCCTGTCTCTTTGAGCAAGAGACAGCTGATTTTTTGGCTCGTGCAAAAGAAGCCTTGAACTAGAAGCATCATGATTGCACTTTGCAACGTCCAGCATCCCCTAGACGCGCATGATAATTAAAGATTGCTCTGCAAGGACTCCTTATTCAAGATCCCCGCAAGGTTCATCATAAACCGCGGTTACATATACATAGTACAAACCAGCAGCCATGGGTGGTGGGACGAGCCTGGAATGTAACCACAAACGTCGATCTGAAAGATCATCCGTCGCGTTCTGCAACGGTGTATGCCATAACAATGCAATTTTGCACGGTTCGCAGGGTTGGATCAAAGGTAGCCAAAGAGATCCGGGCATCCCCTGCTGCAGACGGGAGACATTGCAAAACGCTGAAAATGAGAGAGTCTGGCAGTCTGGTAAACCCTTGACCTCTGTGGAAGTGAGGACGAACTACTTTATCCCCGCACTGCTACCTCATACCTCCACATGGTAGGATAAGGTCCCGGACTACCGTATTAGATTGCATACCTTAGATGACCGCTTGCAGTGTATTCGGATCGGCACAAGGTCCTGCAATACCGCGTACCTATCTGCGGGCCGATATCATGGTTAATGTCGTATTTGAAGCTTATTTTTTGTTGGAGGTTCAACAGGTTGCAGCTGCCACCTGCAGCGTATTTCATATATAAGCTGTATTCGCGAGGCCCATCTGCATTCTTCAACCCAGTATGCTTGTGGAAGGGATGCTAGACCCCAGCATGATATCTGCATGACGACCTGATCTTTGCTCTAATGGCCTTTTGAGACAAGCAATACACCAACGCTCGTTCAGCCTCAACACCGCATTCTTTAAAAGAAAACCCACGTCTATCGTTTGAAGGCATAATTAGAGTGCTTTTTATGCACAACTACCTCGCCAACAGAATCATCGACAACGGTTACACTTTTACCATGTCTCCCATCACAGCTCGACTCGCTTCCACATTCCTTGTGGTTGCTTCACTGGTCCTGGGTCAGAGCACCGAAGGCAATCTCGGTTTCGTGGATCCTCTAATTGGATCTTCCAATGGGGGCAATGTGTTTTGCGGCGCATCTTTGCCCTACGGCATGGCAAAGGCAGTGGCAGACACAGATTCCGAAAGCAACCAGGGCGGATTCACTCTTGATGGGTCCAATGTCACAGGCTTTTCTGTCATGCACGACTCCGGCACAGGAGGCAGTCCTTCTCTGGGCAATTTTGCGCTCTTCGCCTACAGCAACTGCCCTGACGGGGATCTGAATAGATGTGTATATCCAAAGATCTCGCGGGCTGCCTTTGGTACATTTGACAACAACACTGTTGTGGCAGAACCGGGCTACTTTAGCATCACGTTGGATTCTGGAATTCAGACAGAGATGACCACGGCGCAGCACACGTCGCTGTTCAAGTTCACTTTCCCAGCTGGCAATGCCTCCGATCAGCCCCTAATATTCCAGGACCTTACTGATCTCTCAAACTCACGTCAAGACAATGGGAGTGTGGCAGTCGACGCCACTACAGGACGTATCACTGGTAATGCGATTTTCCAACCTAGCTTTGCTCAGGGCACGTACAAGCTCTATTTCTGCACCGATTTCTCTGGAGCTGAAATTCTCGACAATGGCATCTATTCCAACAGCCGAGCCAGCGCTGACGTGAAAAACTTCACGATATCGAGGTCCATCAACGGCTATCCTCTGCCCGGAGGAGCTTTCGTCAGGTTCACGAGCGGAAGTAGTCCCATCACTGCGCGTACAGCAACGAGCTTCATCAGCTCAGAACAGGCGTGTGCGCACGCTGAGGCGGAGATTCCGGATTTTGATTTCGATAGCGTAAAGACGACTGCGCAGACGCTTTGGGAGGAGAAGCTGAGTCCCATCACTGTGGATGCAACCGGAGTAAATGAATCATTCGTGACGAATTTCTTCAGCGGATTTTACCGCACCATGATCAATCCTCAGAATTATACTGGAGAAAATCCATTGTGGTCGAGTGACGAGCCCTACTTCGACTCCTTCTACTGGTCAGTCATATACACCCCTTGATGGTTGGAATTGTCGTTGATGATCTGAGCAGTCTCTGGGATTCTTTCCGATCCCAAATACCGTTCTTGACGATTGTGGATACGGCGGCCGTCGAGGAAATGATTCGATCTCTCCTCGACACTTATAGCAACCTTGGCTGGCTGCCTGATTGTCGCATGCAGCTCAACAAAGGCTATACACAGGTGAGTGCGAATTCGGTAGGCTAGCATTGAAGCTCTCCGCTGACTTATTTCAGGGCGGATCCAACGCGGACAACATCCTGGCAGACGGATTCATCAAAGGACTATCTGCGGGAATTGATGTGAGCCACCAAGCCCTTTGAAGCCACTTCAGTTCGTGAGCCAAAATTGCTGACTTCGTACAGTGGAATCTCGGCTATGAAGCCGTGGTGAAAGATGCCGAAGTCGAGCCTTTCGACTGGTGCTGCGAAGGGCGGGGCGGCCTTGACTCTTGGAAAGCTTTAAGCTGTAAGTCTGTCTCTAGACTCATCTTCCCTGGCCTCACCTTTGGTCCCATCAAAGCTTTCAGCGCCCTCTCTTTGGGCCAAAATGCATGCTAACACACCTGAAAAGACATTCCTGTCCAAGACTTTGACTACAAGGGATTCGGTACGATGACTCGAAGCATTTCCCGCACCTTGGAGTATAGCTACAATGACTACTGCATCTCCCAAATTGCTGCCGGCTTAAACAACACGGCTGGTCAGGAGAAGTATCTTGACTCCAGCGGCAACTGGGCAAACTTGTACAAATCAGACCAGACTTCTTTCTTACTCGATGGAACGAGCACGGGTTTTACGGGATTCTTCCAACCGAAATTCTTGAATCAGACCTGGGGCTTCCAGGATCCTTTGCAATGCAGCAACATCGACACTTCGGGCGCAGCGTGCTCGTTGCAGAACACTGGAAGGGAGACATTTGAGAGCAGCATCTGGGAATACAGCTTGTAAGATAACTTCATCATTACCCTTGCCACGTCGCATGCCTACCCCTTGATCACTAACAACGAGCAGCTTCGTTCCTCACAACCAAGCCGATCTCATCACCTTATTCGGCGGACCGGCTGCGTTCGTCCGCCGCCTAGACTACCTCCATGATACGAATATAACCTACATTGGAAACGAGCCGGCCTTCCTCACCGTATTCCAGTACCACTATGCCGGTCGTCCAGCTCTCTCTGCCAAGCGATCTCATTTCTATATCCCCGCCTTTTTCGACCCGTCACCAGCGGGTCTTCCAGGCAACGATGATAGCGGTGCCATGGGCAGCTTCCTTGCCTTTAGTATGATGGGCCTTTTTCCGAACCCGGGACAGGACTGCTACTTGATCACTCCTCCTTATTTCGTCAGTGTCAACATCACATCACCTGTGACGGGCAAGACGGCGACAATTCGCAACGTCAACTTCGACCCCACTTACGAGGCTATCTACATCCAGTCAGCCACGCTGGATGGTGAGCCGTACACCAAAAATTGGATCGATCACAGCTTCTTCACTGAAGGAAAGGAGCTGGTTCTTACCTTGGGTAGAAATGAAAGCTCGTGGGGTACTAGGGTTGAGGATTTGCCACCAAGCGTAGGCACATACACAGGCTTCAATGGGACGTTGTCCAAGAGGATGTCTGGCGGAGTTGGCCAAATAGCGCGGTCGTACAAAGGAGACTTTGGCGGATTCTCCAAGGTCGGGGCCTTTTGATTTGGATTAGTGACCTTATGGCACATTGTTGGCTACTTGCAGATTCAAATAGATTTGCATCAACAAGATTATCTTCACCGTGGATTTCGATCGCACTTAGTAATTATCGACTTGTGAAACAATCACTCCTTGGATCTGCCTGGCTAAGCTGGAAAGCAGACGGGCTCGCTCGAGCACAAAGGCCTCCGAAGGCTGTATGTAGTCCGCAGCTGGGTCTCCTCATGTTACAGCGACCCTTAAAAGCTCGTCATTGAGAGCATGATTATGACTCGAGGAAGGACTGAAAATAATTAGAATGGAACAGAGATAGTAGTGTGCAACATTACAGAGAAGGCCATAGTGGGCATAGCAATGAGCTTCTGTATCTGAAACGTCCTTCATCCATTTCTACAGTCGACAAACCTCCTGCTTAGGGATGCATCCAGAATCTACCCAGGTTGCTCTAACTCCCCCTGAAAGAGGCTAATTGAGAGCCCCCAAATCCCGTGTAAAACCGCAAGTTTCCTCACTCCTTCACCTCGCGTTCAAGTCTACAGGATTTTCAAAAAGGAAGGGCGATATCAGGGTTTGAACCTGAGTCTCTCGCAGTTTCTCTGTGATCGAGAAGGGAAACCCCGAAGCGAGTATGGTACCACTACACCATATCACCAATGCTTGGATGTTGTTGGACCGCTGGCTGTTTATGACTTGCATTGTACTGAAGTTGTTGTGCATATACTGTTGAGCCACTTAGTCCAGAATCGAGCAAATGATATGCATCAGATCTTGATTCTTTTCATGACGGAAAGGGAAGTTTAGACATACAAAAATTTCTCGAAACAAAGCACAACTGACTTTGCCCGGCGCATTTCACAAAACAGCAGGGTGTGTCTCTCTCGGTCTCAACGTTCTCGAGCATAATAAAGCGCAATCTGGATCCTTTGACGGGATAATTCCGTGTCCGAAATTTCAATATACCCAATGCGGGCCCGTCATACGACCTGTGCCGGGCGGATCAAACTCCGATAGCCAATGAGACATGCTAATTGAGCAGGCCGTTCTGAGCAGATGCAATTTGTCTCAATGATTCAGCGCGCTAGTCCGGGTCCGAGTCCTTTGTGATGTTGCGATTTCTCTTCAAGTACCTGCGTGAGCAAGACGGAAATTTCGAGTTAGACCTGATCTCTTCAATGCCTGACATAGTCTTTCATAGTAAAAGTATCAGCAAAGCCTCTCACACGAGACTTCAGCGAGCGACTTCGGATTTTCTCTCTCTCTCTCTCTCTCTCTCTCTCTCTCTCTCTCTCTCTTTCACCGCACAGGTATCTCAACTCAGTCTTCACCAATTTCGATCATGCTGCAAAGCATGCCTGTGGACGGGCACTTGAATTTGGGCTCAGCTTTAGCTGAGAACTCAAGCTTGCCTGCAAAATTGGGTTTGGAATTTGGGAGTTTTGAATCCCGATATAAAGCGTCGTTGGAGGCAAAAGTAGGTACTTGTCCACATGATGTTGAGCCTATAACCTATTACTTGACTGAATAATTTGTCACAGTACGACACAGACACATTGGAAGGCATTGAAGAACTGGAACTCGAAGATTCAGATGATGATGATGGGGAGGAATTCGACAAACTTTCATCGCTGGTATCTTCAGATTTGAACCTTGATGAGATCGGTGGCGAATCGAATGCCCAAATTTTGTCCCGTCCAAGGTATACTGTTTGAGCCCAACTAGAAAGAAATCCTCTTCGGATGCTAATTATACAGACAGATCTCTGAGCTCTTTCACGAATGCCCTGGCACCGAAAAAGTCCCGGTCTGAGGGATGGAAAAAATTGATTAGGAAATTCAGCAAGTCAAGTCAGTATTGTCATCCAGAAACATCTAAAGTCCATTTGATCATCCTTGTAACTAACATCAATTTGATATTCAGCACGACAAAGTACGCTTTTCAGCCTCTCCTGTTCCCTTGGGACCCTTCACAGCCTCGCTCACGACTGGGACAACCGTAGAACTAACATGAGTGTATTCCATAGATTTGCAGGAGCAGCATCAATTTTGGTTATCCGTCCACGGAAGGCTCCATCACTCTCCGCTGAGCGATTCACAAACCAGAAGAGCTCTGGAAATTGGCACGGGGCGTGGCATGTGGGCAATGGAATTTGGTTCGACTCCCGTTTTTCCCATCGCATTCCTCTTGTGATTCTCTATCAAGCTCAGGTCCAGCGATTTTGGATGCTCATACCCTTCCAGCTAGCAAGTTCCGAGACTGCCAAGTCACTGGGATAGACATCCAGGCCCATGACAATTGGAAGGTTTTGAATACTGCAGACCAGAGCGGGAAATACCTTTTCCCGAACCTCCAGTTCCAAGTCCACCTTCTCCAGCCAGGAGTTCAATGGGACTTTGCTGAGAAATTCGATTTTGTACACGTCCGACTTCTGAGCTATTTGGTGGATCATTCTGTTTGGTTTCCATCGCTTCTAAGAAATTTGAATGATGGAGGCTGGGCAGAGTTCAATCAATGGATCATCCAAATTCAGTCCGCAAATGGGTACTCCACGGGCAGAGGATCGGCAGTGAAGACATGGAACGCATTGGCAAAGGAAGGTAAATGTCGACTTAATTTTCTTTTTGATTTTTTTTCGATATTTTCTCAGACCCATCTCATGCTCACGAGTTAATGGCAGGATCTATAAGGCTAGGCAAAGATGCTGAGGCCCCTTTGAAGTTCAAGTCTATGTTGGAAGAGGTAGGCTTCGAGGAGGTTGTGCAGATTAGGCACGACGTACCGTTGAATCAGTGGGTTCCGGATCCGGAGTTGAGGAAGTTGGGGGAGGCATCGTACAAGAATATTATCGTTGCTCTCCAGCCGTTTTCGATCTCGACCCTCGGACATGGACTTGGCTGGACAATCGACCAAATTGATGTGTTACTCGAAGAGGTCCGTAAAGACATTGAGAATACGGACTTTCATTGCTTCGTACCGATGTGAGTAAAAACCTTACCACCTCATCAAATGTGCTGATCTCTTTTCCTGACCACCCGTGGACATTTAGGATGACAACGTTTTGTAGGAAACCAGCTCCAACAGATGGTGCTACATCAAGGGCAGGCTTGACGGCCAAACTGGACCCTTTTCGAGAGGATTGCACTTACAATTACAACCAGGCTTTACACATTCCAGTATGGAGCGAAACTTGATATAGTATTCCGGGATATGATCATCTGATACCAAAGCAATGTACATATCTCTCAAACGATGTGATACTTGGGCATACACTTGCACAGGCTGGTTGTGTCAGAGCCAAACGGCCATTAATCAATGTCACTAACACTTGGTACATGGCTGTCGAATTTGTGGGCTGTGTATGCAGATGATCTTAGTTGTGTCGAGTAATCCATGGGATTATTCAGGTGTATTCACATAAAATACGCAAAAGAGGGCGTCTACGTCGACGTTACAGGAGCTCCAGTATTCGAAATGTCACCTAAACTACGGCCGTGGCCCTCAAATGCGCGCTGATGCCAAACGCGCGCTGATGCTGAGGGCTGGATTAAGCTTGAGTCAGAGAAGGTTCGATTGTTCTTCTGATCGTAGCACCAGTTCCAACTTCTGCAACCCTAATCCGCCCTTTCGATTAGGCTTACCTATACAGTATCAGATAAGGAGCGTTTACTGTCTCATCTGGCGTTGGGACGAGGCTAATTTCGAGGATGGATACGGGCCGACCCGCGACTTGTTGTAAAGGGACAACCTGGGAAAGCTGGTGGTTCTACCCAGGCCACACGGAAAGTATTCAGGGACTTTACGAAGGATCTTGCGGTTTAATAATTCCTGGGGATTGAGTCGGTGGGGTTGATACCTCCTGTTGCTGTTTACGGTATACTAGTCAAGAGCAAGAACCTTTACAGAGGCATGGAAGGATCAGCAAGTAGAGACGGACGAAGATATCCGCGCAGCCATCACTCGTTATTTGACGGGAATTTTAAGTGAGTGACATGCAACGTGACGAGCAACCTCTCACATGGACACGGAAAGTCTCGCAACCCGTAGACAATCTCGGCAATTCAAAAAAATACTGAAGAATACCTAGGTAGTGATTTCGGAAGAACTTGCCGGTTATCTCTCGTTCCAAGGTTTTTCCAGCTTACTTATTATTGACTGTCAAAATTCTAAGCGTGCACAGATTCATCTTTCGTAGCATTGATTAAGCCAAAATGACGACATGACTTGCTCAACGATCAAGTTTCAAATCAACCCGTTATGTAGATTGGAAAGGTCTGGCCCACCTGAAATTACCGCTAATAATATATACACAAGTGCATTCCCTCGCCTCTTAATAACGAAATATGTCCGACATGCTGCTTGGAGCTAACTCAACTCAACCTCCTCACAGACGAGTTGATCTATTAGGTACCTCGTCGTCGCCAGTTCCCCCTGACACAAAATGGCTCCAGCAGAGCCAAAGGCCATTCCATTCCAAGCCAAGGGTGATTTGCCTACGTTCCCCGATGAACGGGATGGCTGGAAGGGCTACATTGAATGGGAGGACTATCCGGAGAAGAGAAAAGAGGCAGAGGCAATTCTCGCACAATACGATTTCCCCGATGTTAGTAGACACATCGTATTTCTATCGTGAAAGCACGCTGGTGCCCACTGATGCTGAGATCACTCGCAGCCTCCCGAATTCCAACTTGCCTACGTCCCGCCAAACAATCCACTCTTGACTGGAGAGCGGTTCAAGCAATATCACTATGCGTTAGGGAAGGAGGTTGGCCAGCTTCCAGATATCTCATGGCAGTATGTTCTGAAGGAGAAAGCACCTGATATGTTGCATGTTCTGCAATTTCCCTACAACGGGGAGCCTCCGCGGGCAAGTTGCCCCATAACCCGCTATCGTCTGCTTATTGCGACTGACCCAGTCTTTCAGGCGCGTCTTGTCAAAGACGCAATTACATCCAACGAGGACTTCTTCATCCGCAACCACGGCGGTGTACCAGAAATCGATGCGGATAAGTATTTCCTCGACATTGGAGGCTTTGTCAAGAACCCAAAGCGCATTACCCTTGCCCAGCTGCAGGATGAAAGCCTGTTTCCTCGGCAGTCCAATACGGTGACTCTGCAGTGCTCCGGTACTCGTCGTATAGAGCAGATTCACGAGTACCCTGGAGATGGTGATGAGCTCATCAACGCGCCTTGGGGCGAGGGTGCTATCGGCAACGCAAAATGGACGGGCGTCTCCTTAAAGAAGGTCATCAAGTATTGCGGCGGACTCACGCCCGAAGCTGGCGCTGGTCACCTGGAATTCTTCGGCGCAGACACGTATTTCAAAAAAGGCAAGGTCATGAATTATCGTGTCTCAGCCCCCTGGCGCAAGGTCAAGGCCAATGAGGTCCTCTTGGCCTGGGAGATGAACGGCAAGCCCCTCCCACGTATACACGGGTACCCCTTGCGTGTCATTGTATTCGGCTACATTGGTGCGCGAAGCTGCAAATGGGTATATCGCATCAATGCCATTTCAGAGCCGTCTTTAGCACCGGTGCAAAGGCAAGAGTACCTTTACTACACGCCGCAAGTCGGCAAGCAAAACGCCGCGTACTCCAACGGCTTCTCGATCCAAGACATGCCCGTCAGCAGCGCCATCATGACACCCGTTGACAAGGA